AAGTAATGTTGAAATCTGCTGAGGCAGCTGCAGAAATTGATTCCTAGTTCACATGAGGTCAGAGCCTGGTCTCTTTGTACACTACACAAATTCCATTGAGGAGTGTCTTTAAAACACAGTGGTCTGAATTTAGCTGTTTTTGAACATTATTTGAGACAAAAGCCCTATTGTTCAATTTTCTAAAGCACATTTTACACGTCAAAGTTAGTAAAATGATTCATATACAATAGAAGCATGTGAGAGTTCCTTTACAAAAAATGTAAAATGTCTCAATTAGGCATCTACTAAATGGCATCCATACATATTTTGACCTGAGACTTTGAAACCCTAAGGTGGCATGCCACTATGTATGCTAGGTTCCCAAAAGATACTTTTTATTTTGTAATTTCTCATTATTTTACTATCTCATCTGGTTTAATTTTCATGTTATTTCTTGTCTATCATTTTGCTTATCTTAATTAAAAAAACTTTTCAATGTCATTAAGTACATCATCTTTCAGATATATGATTTTTCATGTAATTATGAGCAAAAAGAATAGATTATCATAAATGATATGGAGATATACAAACAATTTGTAGTTAATTAGGAGCTCATTTGGGGAATTAATTTCTATGTGGGCTACACAGAAGATGGATTCCAACATGTACCTATTAAATTAATAATATCAATTCACATTTTATAAATAAAATAAAACATACATGTACATACACAGGCAATCATATCTCATATCTATAAAATCAGAGCTTTGGTATATCAAAACCATTCTAGGACTGAGTTTTCAGTTTCTATTTAAAGTAAAGTAAGTATTCATTTTTTAAAGGATTTTTGTCACATGAATTGTGTCACTACTGAGGCTGTAAATATTCATATTACTTCATATTAAGATGTTGGACAGAGTGTCTGTTAGTTTTTTCAACTATGTTTCAACCCTGTCACTTGTTTTGTTTTGTTGTGCATTGTCATATGTTATAAAAGAATTAAAAGACTTGTTTCATTTGCAAAATTCAGTCAGCAATTTTGCCACTGCCTGTTCAAACTCGAGCTTAATGGCCCAGACTAAATCCGTGTGACAGTGGAGCTATGGGAATGAATGAAGGATCCGTGCAGCAATTATAGCTTTAACCTCTAACTAGCTTTCATTTTTCATCTTTACAACTCCCATTTCCTCTTTCTATTGAAATAAGTTCAGTTGAAATTAATGGATACTCCTAAACGTATTGATGATCCTGTGAGCTCTTCTGAGAATAGCATTGTTAATGATACTGTTAATAATTTTTTAATATTTTTTTCTCTTTTTTTTTTAGTCTCGACCTATTCCTTCCCACCTTACTTCAGCAGTTGCAGAGAGTATCTTGGCTTCAGCCTGTGAGAGTGAGAGTAGAAATGCCGCCAAGAGGATGCGTCTGGATAGACAACAGGTACTAAGGAGGCTTGGAGTCTGGTGTGCACCAGCTAGAGTAAATGCAGTTAATTTACTTTGATTTACACAGAAGAGTTAAAAACTCTGGAATGGATTTAAAGTACATAAAGATGCAGGGTTTTTTGCCTTTATAATATGAATTTAGACTTGATAGAGATCAAAGCACAAAAAATTTCTGTGGCGAAAATGGACAATTGTAAAACTAATGAGTTATAATTCTGTTTATTATCCAATGTGAAGGCTAATTACTTATTAAGAGGTTTTAACTGTTCATTTACAGTAGCTTTGTAAACTTACCTCAACGTTTATTATAGTGGCCTGATCATGTTCATTTTGAATGAAAATGAACCTGTCTTTAATTTTCTCTCGTCTACTGACAAATGCTAGTAGATTGTTTTGGAGGTGGTGAAAGTACAAAATAAATTCAAAAGACTAGAAAGGCATAAAATGGGGATATAACATAATGGAAATCCATGTTCTGGGCTTACTGTCTCACTAATTAATCCTGGAATGTATGCCAATTACATATCACCATCCTATGTCTCTTTTCTAAGGGTATATGTTGGGTAGTGTGGATGTGTGCGTTTTTTGTACGTACATCATTGGTGTTTCACTCAGTCTTATCCTTGGTTTATTTGTACCTTTCCTTCTCCCCTTCTCATGTCTGGAATATCTTTCTCTTCTTTTCATTCCTCTTAATTATCCATAATAAGGAACTAAATTATATTATATTATATGTTATGCATAAGAGTTTGATGTATTTTGACTTTCAAATTATTTTTTGCAAGAAATGAACTGGATGCTTCAGATTTCTAATGACATTGAGATGAGTTGATACTAAATTAAGTTAGTCCAATTTTGTTTAACCTGTGAGCCACTGGGCTTCGAAGAAAAAAAAAAAAAATCCAGTCTTGGAATATTTAAAAATGTTTCAAAATGATATTAGCTTTTATGTGTTTATTATTAAAATGTCATGTGCTAATAATTCTGAACACTGCAAAAGATAAAGCTTTTAGTTAAATAAAAAATGCAATATTAGCCTCAGATAAAAAGTATGTGAAAATACCAATTTTGAATTTGTTAATCGTGCCACCAGTATTTATTCACATATATGTGTACTCAATTGAAGCTTTTATCATTATCATATCCATAAAATTTATCTTACTTAAATTGAGTTACAGCACTATATGTGATACCATCTAGCATAGTGATTAGGGTTGCACATTTTCGAGTTAAATAGATCTGGTTCTGATTCTCCTCTCTACCCTTGCTAATTATGCAGTCTTCAGCAAGCTATTCCAGTTCTACATGTTTCGGTTTCTTCATATGAATGATAATAACAGTACTAATCGTACAGGGCTGTTAGGAGAACCTTAAATGACTGATTCATGTTAGGTACTTAGCATTTTGCCCATCATTTATAAGCATTTATAAATTTATAAATGTAGCTGAGAAAGAAAAACTTTGATGTCTTGCTTTTTTGTCATTGCCTTAGTATCAGTAAGCTAGAAAGAAGCATTAATAATACTATTTTGTATGTAGGAGTTTTGAAGTCAGACTAAGTCTATTTGAGAAAAGATCTTAATTCTAGAAATTGGAATAGTAGTGATCATTGTACAGCATACATATGCATCAAAACATCAAATTGTATCCCATAAATATGTACTATTACAATGTTTCAGTTAAAATTAATTAATTATTTTTTAAAAAGAGATAGTCAAATTCTGGGATTGAAAGGGCTCTCCTGGTTGTTGTTAGCCATATATCCCACCTAGTCTACCCTATAGAATATTCCTGCATGGAATCAATCATATATGAAGGTGTTATGAAGTGGAATAGCTGATTCATGTATGTACTACCCACAATATCACTCTACAATCTTCCCTAGAGCTGGTCACCCACTGACATTTGGTCCACTCACTTAACCACTGTTGGCCTAGTATTTAAAATAGGGGATACAAATACTAAATTTATAAAGTTATTGTGAGCATTTAATAAGTTAATGCAGGGCCAGCCCAGTGGCGCACTGCTACAGTGCGCCGCTTGGGAGCGCAGCGGCGCTCCTGCCGAGGGTTCGGATACAAATACCAAATTTATAAAGTTATTGTGAGCATTTAATAAGTTAATGCAGGGCCAGCCCGGTGGCGCACTGCTACAGTGCGCCGCTTGGGAGCGCAGCGGCGCTCCTGCCGAGGGTTCAGATCCCGGTGGCTCACTGGCTGAGCGAGGTGCGGGTGCAACACCGAGGGTTGCGATCCCGTTGCCGGTCCTGGTCCAGTACGGGCGTGACACTGAGGGTTGCGATCCGTTGCCGGTCACAAAAAAAGACAAAAAGGAAAAAAAAAATAAGTTAATGCATTTATATGAAAGCATAGTGCATTTAATAAGTATATATATTGTTAAAGGTATATCATATTTACCGTTTGCTTCAATATCTCAAGGGGTAGGAACATCCTACCTCCATACTAAAGATCTACTGTTTACTAATACACTTTTTCTACTGTCAAAGAGCTGCAGTTGTTTGGAAAGTCTGTAAATTGAGCTCACATTTTCTTCCTAGAGCTTCCACCCATTAAAGAGCAACTGCTAGAGATAATGAGGAGTGGGTATCCTTACTCCTGCCCCAGGAGTAGGAACTGGAATGGGTGGGGACCAATTGTCCTTGACCCTACTTCCCATTTTAGCTGTTCCTTTTTTCTATGTCCTTATACACAGTGGTTGTTTATTGTGAGGTTTCATCACTTGGGAATGGAGGATGCCCAGTATTTCCTCCATGTGGAAATATTCTTTCCAGGCCCTAAAAAGGGTTCAGAGAGCTCTGGGATATATGAGGGATAAGGAAGAAATAATTTTTAAAAATTACTTCTATGATTTATTAGAAACCCATTAGGCACTTTACAGACATTTTTTTCATTTACTATTCTCAACAACCCCATGCCAGTAAGTATTATTATTCTAATTTATATGTAAGGAAGCTGAGGCTCAAAGAAATGGGATGATTCATTCAAGGTCACCAGATACATAAACAAGTCAAGGTTTGAGTTTATATTGGGTGACAACCCCTGAGATTTTTCCAAAATCCTATAATGCCTTTTCCTTGACTATGTTCACCACAAGAAAACCCATGGCCTGGAAGAAACTCGTAGGACTCATATCATGTTTGCCTCTGCTCACAATGTTTGACAGTGCTGTTTCTTCTGGAAAACAATTTGCTTTATTCACAAAGATTTCGTACCTCATCATAACTAGCAAACCATGTTTTGCCTGGATATCAGCCTAAAAAAAAGTTACAAACTTCCCAAAGTGTTTCACTTCATCAGGACAATGAATTATGCACTGTAAACAATGGTTTAGTGTTTATAATTAGTATTTCAAAAATATTCTTACTAAGAATCTATAGATTTCCTTTTTGTATGTTATACAGAGACTTCTACCAAGCGATTCTACTTCCCCACCAAAGCATGGAGTTGGGAGAGCCCTATTTTAGTTGGATCTGAACCTTCTTTGCCCATTTAGAGTTCTTTTGGGTGTTGGCAATGAGATCATACTTTTCTGTGTGCATTCTTAACCTAACTAAATTCTTAGAATTTGCCAGTAATTCAGAGATTCTTCATTGTTCCCTGACTTTCTATAGGTGCATAAAAGTTCAAGCACTGTGCACCTAAAATCTGTTTTCTGTTAAGCCATGCATCTGACCGCTTGCTGCCAGTAGTTAGCCACATGTAGAGCTCTAATTATATGTCCTTCAGAGTTTATGAAGCCTGATGAATTAATTGGATTTTATAAAGCTCTTTGAGCTATGAACATGAGAGGTGTTATGGATATGCTAAATACTTTATTTCATGTATCCGTTTTGCACCCAAATCCAGAGAAAGCTTGTTATTATGAAGCCTCAGCCCTGAAGCAAGCCAGTGGCAAGGACAGGAGCCAATGCTTCATCAGGAAACAGATTTCACAGAACAGAGGTTAATCCCTGATACATTTTAGAATGTATTCCTATTAAGCATTTCTTTTAACGTGAAAATCTGGAATTTTAAAATGATCTAGTAAATGCTTTCTCACTTTGACAATTCAGAAAGATGGGAAAACCAGACTTCACTTTTATAGTTCTATGACACAGCTCAAATTTGGGGTTCTTTTTCTGTATCTTTATTACATAGAGATTATTTCATTTATTTTTCCTTAACAACATAAATATCTCATTGTTCTTGGTTGCAATTTATTTGAAGAGACAGACAGAGGCAGAAAATGAGAGAGATAAGCACCAACTATGTGCTGGTGGTTTATCTCTTACTGGTGTGTACTTTTTGCTGTTTTTGAAGGCCGACATACATTTTATTCATAGTCTCGGTGACTAATTAAGGTAGAAAGCTTCTGAAGAATATGAGGGTTTCTTCAGTTTCTTCAGTTTCTTTTCTCTATCCCCAGTGTTTTCAGTTAAATTAGAGTGTAGTTCTCTACAAGGGGTCACATAAAATCAGTGGTCAAAGGCTTCCCCAGTGGCAGCTCATCAGACACTGCCCTTGAAAGACAAGCTGTGAATACTGGGTGACAGTTTCTGTGGTGGCTAGGACAGGTGGGAAGTTAATGGTTGACTGTGACGTGACACCTTTGACTGTGCTGAAAATAACTCAGTTGGGAGAAAGGGGATATAGCATGTTAATTACCTGTAATATAATAAAAGGTGAGGAAGCAGAAAAATAAAATACCAAAAATTGATGTATCACCAAGTTAAAAAAAAAAAATCACTGCTGGTAAACCAGCATGAGCCCATTAGCCCCGGATCTAAAAATACTTAATAAGCCCATAGGTCCTTGCTACAGTTTTTTCTTTAGTAGTGGTGGATTTACTGCAATCTGCATCTCTTCATGATTTTTCCTTTGTTCTGTTAGGGCTCTGGTAAGTAGGTGCATTATTGAAAGAAATGCATTTGTAGGTACAAAGGTTGATAATGTAGCCACATAAGTATGGTGACGATTTTAATACAGACTTTGTATTTTGTCATAAATATATTTGAAAACTATCTAAAACAATGTGAGCAAAACATAGATTTTGAGAGAGCCAGCTTTTCTTTCACTTTATTCTGAAGTTATACACTTCTGTTTGGTAACTTTATAAACTTTAACATATACCTGATTAAAAACAACATTTTTTAATAGGATTTTATTCTTAAATTTAAACATTGTGATAGTAACTGAGATGTGGCATGAAACCTGTTTCTGTGGTCTACCCAGGCCACACCTTCCTGCCCTTATTCTCAATCATCTTTGGCTCTTTATTCAACTCCTAGTATTTTCCTTTCTTATATACAGTATTTTGGACTAAAACCTATATCTTTGAGTTTTTTAGTGTGCTTCAACATGGCCCTTTCATTCACAGGAGTAAATATGCAATATCAGAAAAATGAAGTCTAATCAAGGTCCAGTTCTTGGAATACGTTCTATTTCCTATGTAGCATTTTTAATTTTGAGCTATTTGGGGTAGAGTGTGCTTTTCAAGTCATCTCCTTCTAATGGACCTTGATATCCTCATTAATAAGAATATTAACAACAGCAACAGCAGAAACATTTATGGATGCAACCCCTGTATGAGGTGTTTTCTAAGCCTTTTTATGTAATTGTCATGATTTTTATAGAAGTGGAGAAACTGAAGCTTAGAGCAGTTAAATAAATTTTCCAAGGTCACTGAGTTGCTCAGGATGGAGCTCCACTTTAATTCAATCCTTGTGCTTTTTAAAATCATACTTACTATTACATTTTTGAAAATCTTTTAATCATGTAGGCTTAATTTTGACAATTTGGGACATAAAAGAAATGTATAAAGAAGAAATACATTTTACTAGTAATTACTATTTTTATGTTAGAATTCCTCCTAGTATTTTTTCTATGCAAAACTTTTTTAAAAAGCAAAATAGAATCACATTGTATGCTTCCATTTCACTTAATGTATGAGTATTTACTGTATCACTACATAATCTTAATACTCCATCATGTAATTTTTTTGTAAATTAAGTGCTAATTCTACTTTTTAAGCATAATTGGCATGTGAAAAGGATGTCTTGCCTATTTTTTTGGATAAATTATGAGAAATGGAATTACTGGCTCAAAGAACAGCAAGATTTCTTAAAAGTCTTAATAAACATAAAGTTTATGCCCTATATCTCTGCCTTACTCCTATAAAATAGAGATTTTAGCTTGTGTTGTAGGTATATATAATTAAAAGCTTTTTTTAACTTCTAGGATTTTTTCTCTAAACTGGTAATTTCTAACCTTGTCAAATACAGCATCTCTTTAGAGTAATTACTTCAAAGTGCCCCACTTTAAAACCTGAAACGCGATTTATACTTAATACAAATTATCTATGCCCACAGTTAAAAAATACATATGATGACCTGCTATTAACATAATTAATACATTAAAGGAAAGCAATATGTAATGAAATAACAAGTATTTTAATGTGGAAATGTGGGTATTCTACAGCACTAGAAGATATAATGATGTCATTAGGTGTTAACAGCTGTATCTCAAGTCAGTGAGAATACAGCAGCTAAATTGTCCTTTGGTGTATGTATGTTTGATGTATGACAACTCACAGTTGTCAGTGACATGACTGGTGAAAAACTGTTAAGTTACAAACAAAACACGGCACAATATCCCCTTGAATATTTACACGGTAGTAGTTTCCTTGAGATAATTTAATATATATTTAAAAACAGGCATAAAACCTTTGTGTTTATACCTAAAATAAGGTTAAGTTTTAGGCTCAGGTAATTCTAAACAGGCTTTTCACCTACAAAGATACTAGCAGGACTTTTTAAAATTCATGTGGGAACGGGGACAATTCTTAGTCACACAAGACTGCCTCACACATGTCAGGGCTTCTAGATAACACGTCCTCCACCTACTTAATGAGTGCAGCACCTGCTATATAGTCATCCAGATGTTTCCAGGGAGTGGTAACACTGTCTTAAGAAGCACTGCTATGGGTAGAATTGCCTAGAACTTGAATCCAGGAATGACAATCATTAATTCTGACATATGTTCCTTCCTAGTGAATTCATACAACTCATTTATTTCCATTTTGAAGAAATTGAACTGAAGGCTTGAAACCCTCATTTTCAGTAGGCTTTGCACTCATCATATCAAACGAATTTTCCTTCCATCATTTATTTTGTCCTCCTTTTATTTTATTATTTTTTTCTAATTTGACAGAGCCTAGAACTAAAAATCGTGTGTTATAAGATAAAAATGACTTAATGAGACCCTTTGGTTTAATTGTATTATTTTTTGCAAGAATGAAGAAGTTAAGTATCAATGGCCATATCAATTATGCCCCCAGTCAAAAAACCTGTCACATATAATTTCTAATTCCAGTTTTTTAAATTTTAGTTATATTTTTAATTGGCATGTAATAATTATACATATTCATGGGGTGCAGCGTGATGTTTCAATATATGAAGACAATGAACATTATTTCTATGTGCTGGAACATTTGAAATCCTCTCTTCTGGATATTCGAAATTATACAATAAATTATCGTTAATTATAGTCACCTAACAGTGCTATAGAACATTAGAACTTATTCTTACCATCTAGCTGTTAGTTTGTATCTGTTAGCCAGCCTCTCCCCATTCTTCCTTCCCAGCTCTTTCTAGCCACTGGTAACCACAGTTCTACTCTTTACTTCTATGAGATCGACTTTCTTAGTTCCCACGTGTAAAAACGTGCAATATTTATCTTTCTGTGTCTGACGTATTTCACTCAATGTTTTCCAGGCTCATCCATGTTGCCATGCATGGCAGGATTTCATTCTTTTTTATGGGTGAATAGTATTCCATTCTGTATATATATATACCATATTTTTATTATTCATTCATCTGTTGATGGACACCTAGGTTGATTTCATATCTTGGCCATTGTGAATAGTGATGTAATATACATGGGGGTACAGATATATCTGTGATATACTGATTTGTTTTCCTTTGGAAACTACCCAGTAGTGAGATTACTGGGTCATATGGTAGTTCTATTTGTAGTTTTTTGAGGAACTTCCATATTGTTTTTCCATTTGACTGTGCTAATTTACATTCCCACCAACAGTATATAAGAGTTCCCCTTTCTCAGAATCCTCCCCAGCATTTGTTATTTTTTGTTTGATGATAGCCATTCTAACTGGGGTGAGATGATATCTTATTGTGGTTTTGATTTGCATTTCCCTGATGATCAGTGATGTTGAGTATGTTTTCATATATTTGTTGGCCATTTGTATGTCTTCTTTTGATAAACGTTTATTTAGAGCATCTGTCTATTTTTAATTGAATTTTTTTGAGTTCCTTTGCAAAATATTTGCAAACTATTCATCTGACAGAGTAATACCAAGAATACTTTGCAAATATTTTCTCCCATTCTGTAGGTTGCCTCTTCACTCTGTTGATTGTTTGTTTCCTTTGCTGTGCAGAAGCTTTTTAGTTTGATATAATCCCATTTGTCTGTTTTTGCTTTGTTGTCTGTTCTTTAGAAGTCTTATTTATAAAATCATTGGTTAGGCCAGTGTCTTAATGTGTTTCCCCTATGTTTTCTTCTAGTAGTTTTATAATTTTGTATTTTACATTTAAATCTTTAACCCATTTTCAGTTAATTATTGTTTGTGGCAAAAGATAGTGGTCTGATTTCAGTTTTACTCTTGAAGTACAATTCCATTTTTTATTCATCATTTGACTATTTTAAATATTCCCTAATATGCATTTATATGCTTTTCTAATTTGGAAGTCAACATAAATTAAAATCCCACTTTTGATATTTATAACAAAGATGCCCAAACTTCAATAATTTGCTACAAATAGAATTCCACAAAAAGATCAGGCCTAATAGTTTTCAAAATGTATGTTTTCATTAGATTTAATCACCAATAAATGTGCTCTTTGTACCCTCAACATTGGAGGATGTGTACTCGGTTGCTCTTTAGTTTTAGTGATGGATTTATAATTAATGATCTGTACACTCATGTTGTCTCTAAAATGCCTGACAGTGTTTAGCAAAGCATCATCTTCCAAAGGAACACAGGTTTTTTCCTATACGGGAAATAGTTAATACAAGTGAATATTACAATATAACCTTAAATTCATGATTACAAAGTGGTGGGGAAGTTAGCTAACCAATCCAGAAAGACTTGACTACAAGCATTCTCACTACTGAAAACCTACCACCTTACCTTTATTAGACCAGAACAAACTCTGGAAATGATTATAATCACATTTTTAAATAAGAAAAATGTGGAAATATTGAATGTTCCATTATATTTTTAAACTTTTAAAATAAATTTTGTAAACATAAATCTAAGAAAAGGAAAATATATGTATCAAATTAAAATGTTTTACAGATATATAAAATATCGCTCCTAGATAACTATAATGCATATTTACCATTCTAATTAAAAAATTTGAGTTTATTGTACACATTACATAACATTTGAGAAACATGGTCAAAATAGTTCTATTGGAATTTTGCTCCTGCTCTATAGGAAAGTATATTTGGTCTAAATTCTGTTGGTATTTTGTAAGCAAAATAATTGCTTCATGATTTGTATTCTTTCAGCATTAACTTAATAATGTGGCTGGTTTTCAAATGCACAATTATTTCAGTTTGTGTTCTTGAAAGGCAACGTTTCAATTGCAAAAGTTTTAAACTTTTTTTCCATGATTTTTGCTCTAGGTATTTTCATAGATATTTGAAGTATCTGTTTCAACAAGGAATATGTTTAATAGGAGGAAATGTAAAGTGGTTTGTTTATTTGGCAAATATATATTAAGCAGTCATTATGTGGCAGTCGTCTTCTCCCTACAGACACTACAAAACAAGTAAAGAGGGAGGACCTTTACTCAGAATTTACTGAAGTGCCAG